TTAGGTAGACCGTAGAGTTGTGGTATGTGTGTACCAACTGGTCTTATTCTTTCAAAAGTGCTGGAGCTTATTATCCCGTCCTGTTTCAGTTTTCTAACGGTTTTAGACAATCCTTTCTCGATAGCGGCCGTTCTGTCTTTTTCTCCATCATTTTTAGTAAATTTAGTCGTGTCTTGTAACAACAGTTCCATTTTGTTCACATAATCGGTCCGGTCAAGAATGACAATCCCTGAGCCTTTATCTGGTCTCAAAAGAATATCTTTGTTTCTCTGAAGTTTGATCAAGCTTTCAAGATGCTCCTTAGACAGCAGTCTTCTACGCTCAGTCGGATGAGTTAGGTATTGATAACTTGTGGTGACCAGCTGTGTTTTCAACTTTTCTAGATTGGTATCTGATGCGGGCAATAGATCTGAAAGTTGACTGTAAAGATTTTCAAATTGTAGCTCTAAATCCAATTGTCTAATGTTTCGATTGGGACAGCAAAAATTGGGTCCTAACGATAGAACTTCAATGGCTACGTTATCCAAACGCAAAGAAGAAAGGTTATTCACATACCGTTCTGGATCTCTAGGAAATTGTCCGTTCCAGATTTTAGTGGTGGCCATCCGGCAAAGTTTTCTTTCATTCTCTTGGTGTTGTTTTGACTCGATCTGCTGTACGTAAGCGAGGAAATTGGACGCTTCGTCTCCTTGCAGATTGTGTAGTGATTCTGCAGCAGCTACACATCTGTTTTCTAAACTGCGTGTGCGGTTCACCCACGTGTCCTTTTCATTCAGCGTATGGCGACGTAACGAACGCCTAGACAGCTCAATATGATTCCGACGAAGGACTGACGCGTAATGTTTAGGATATTCTGATTTAGCAATGCAAGATTCCAGGAAACGAACGGTAGAGTTCGCCTTCGCCAACTGCGTACTAATGACATTTGCAGAATGATTCGAACTCACATATACCCCTGACTGTATTATCCCATTTATCCACACACACACGCATACAAACACAGGCATTACTTACGCGTATTCTATTTCCTTGAACTATATGATTTTGTAACCTATAAAAGAGTGCTGTATTTGGCTAGTAAATGAGGCACCGAAAACGAGCTTGTTTGCCAAATTGACTTTTCGATAAACAAGTTGGCCTGTCATTCGGAAAACCCGTTTGTTTCAGTTCCCTTACTATCCACAATGCTTGGTTAGTTAGCATGTGTTCATGTAGCAGGACAGTTAACATTTTTTGCAACTAGGTTTATGAGGACTGAGAGAAAAGTCATTTGATTTCTCAATGGTCATATGCTGTTCGGGGTAGTCGTACACCGGAACTGAATGTTGCTTGTGCATTGTTTCGCGATGCTCCTTGTCCCTCTCCAATCTGATCTGATTCAGGTAATGAAGGCCGGATTCTGTTTTGTAGGGGCACATTTATGACTGAAAATATTCTATGTATTTGATTTCCCCGTGTCATGACCATATCTAATTTACGCTACTTAGCATCCCGTATAAATATCTGTCGTAGTCCAACAGTGCAAGTTCTAAAATATTCATATGGGGCATTTATGGTTAAATGCGGGCGCATCAGACGTGACAGAGAGATCTGCTATCTAATCAAAAGAAATAGTGTGCTTCTCTTCGATGCCTGAACGAATTATCTGTGTATGTAATCTGCAGGTCAATGCATGCCATCACTTTATTTGAAGTTTAATTTCGGGATATGAATTTTGATGGTTGTGATTCGTTGTGTTGATAACGTCTGAGCTTTCTTCCTATCTATGTGCTTAGTGACCTTGTTGGTCGTTGTATAAAGCTGTGGCTTTTGTCTGCCGTCTGTGCAGTAAATAATCGGTAGCCGTTTTTTCTCCTTTTAATATCTTCACTTAGATCGCGAGATTAGATATTCTTTGCGCACCTGAATCAGCTGTTCATTCACAAACCACTACTTGCCTATTACCTTGCTACTGTTCTTTATCCTTTGTGTTACGAACGGACTCGTTCCAAAGCGCTTGTTTCATTTTGAACATATTCGGTCCGCCTTCAAGCCTTATATCCCACAAAGCTAGTAAACTCTGCTTTCTCTTATGTGTGGACTGTTTTGCCATTTCATCATCAAAATCCTTTTGTCTTCAAGTGTCACCGAATCCTAAACTGAAGGGTCGTTCTCTCAGTCATCTGTCCGAACCGACGAAAAATCTGTCGTGCCTAGTAGCATGCGTAGTGATCCGGAACAGTGCATTTGTGTTCTGATCTCCTTACAACTGGCCTACACTTCCATCAACCGTTGACGTTTTCCTCGACACCATTGCTATCGTCTGACGTGTAATGCAACTGATCTTATAAGAAGGTATTTTTAAATGTAACCTCCGCCCGTCCACATCCCGGTCATTCACATGCGCGTCTGTTTGAAATGCTTAGTTTTGCCATTAAAATTGTCTTTCCAGTCTTGTGATTCTCACTCAGTCGATTAGGGTCTAATGGGATACCACGTGAAGACAGAGCAGAAATAAAGGCAACACAATCGGTTCCCATAAGACATTTCATAGTAAATCGAAGACATCAGAAATGAGCCTAAAAAGATTACCAGAAACTCAAGGCCTGCAAAATGCTGTATGGAGCTAAACCAGCATTCCTGATAGTTGTTTTCCATAGTATTACCAGGAGCAATACTCTCGAAATAGACAAGATAAAGGTATCCATTTGCCCGGACTGTTTGCACCACAATAGCAATGAGATGAATGGAAGGAAACTGTTTTTCGCCGTGTTTTACACCCCTTCAAGCGTTGACAGGCTCGGACCCACTCGAATTTTTATCAGAATTGTTGTCGCTGTCGACGTGCTAATACTGTTGAAAAAATGAGAAGACGCACGCCCTAATAATCACGTGACCGTGAACTACTTTTAGACGAACTGTTGTGATGATCGGCGGCGGCGGCGACAATCAAGCAGAGTGGGTATTTAATTGACAAACAACTATTTAGTAAAATCAAAGTCAGTCTGCAGATGACGAAGTACATTCTCGCGAGTTATATGTCAATGAGGCTTATTTACAAATGATCGAGACGAACGGCAGGTAGATCATCGACTCTTCATATGATGAATTCGTCGTGTAAATGAGGCGTAAGCCGAAAAGCTAGGTAGCACTGGACAGGCGTTTCGACCTGGTTAGGTCTCATCAATGGTGCACGAATCCATTGACCCCACGGGGGATCGAATCCGGAACCCTATAGGTAAAACTAAAAATATATATAACACCGGTTATAGACAAGTAATGTGCTAACACCACAACAATAATAATAATAACAGAGGGCAGGTGAATTGAAATAAAGAACAAAGTGGAAAGAAGGTGAAACAGTTAAAATGGAAAATAGTAGATGACTGGGATAAAAAATTTCTTAATTTGTTTCACCGTACACTTTTTGATATTTTTTGGGGGGGGGGCACAAGATTTTGACAGTCAGATCGTACAGCACTCGCGCCATTGACTTCTATTCTGGACCATATCTCTCAGCATTTCTAACCAACGACAATCCTCATCCCTTGGGCCTAAACCTAGAAGACGGACAGCCTCGACCGACCCAATCCAAAGCTGAAACCAACTTAATCACACGAGATCCATGGATGGAACGGATCTCATTGAAACCAGCTTATTCATACCTCTTTGCCTTGTCATGGTCTGACCGCCGCGGCTCTTCTTCCAACCTTGCCCGGCACATGCAAAGAGAGCACAAAAGGGTAGTCGATGGGAATGCATACGCGATACGTGACCAAACCGTGGGAGGCGGTGGAGAGCTACTACTTCTGTTAGAGAACGACTATCCGCACCCAACACACGACAGCGAACCTCGTGATTACTCACCCGGTGTTCCCATCGGACACGAGCAGTGCTTCGGAGATATCGGTAGTAGAATACAGAAAGTCGCTTAGCATCCTCAAAGCGGAGAGGCCAGGCCTCGCAACCGTAAAGTAGAACGCTACGAACCGCGGCGATGAACACCCTCCCCTTAAGGGATAGTCGGATGTCATGGTGGCACCGCAGGTTAGCGAAAGCCGCTTTAGCTTTTGCTATTCGAGATATGATCTCCCCAACACCACCACCAGCTGCGATCAAGCTCCTGAGGTAATTAGAGCTCTCAACTACTTCCAGCTGATCACCACGGGGTGAGTGCAGGCACAGGCTGCTGCCAGTCTTGAACAAGCGGTTTACACTTGAGAAGTATAAAACACACGAAAGCATATCACCCACTCGGTCACCGGGCAGCTGATCAGACCGTTTTTCACTTTGAATACACAAGGTATGGCACAGCTCACCTTTATGAGCTTGTTGCGATTGTCGGTCCTCGCTCATAGCACGACGAATTCATCCTATAAACGAATCAAATCCTCCATTACTCGCATACCGATCAATAATTTATTTGTTCCCCTCTTGCTCGCTATTAATTCGAGTATTTTAAGCGTTGAGTTGAACAAGTTTGTGAAGTAAGCTTTGGCTATGCGAAGAGAACTTTGGCGTTCGGAACAAAATTGAACGCGGATTGATTCCTCTTCTATAACACACAGAAAATATATTTTCAATCACGTTGAGATACTGGCTGTTATGTAGGCGGCAGGTGTCTACATTTGGCCGCAGACTCGGAGGTAGACCTGTGGCTAAATATTTAAAAATTACTTTTTTAGTCAGAGGCAAGTAACCCTGTGAAAAATGACCGAGTGCATTACACCTGTCCAAAGTGTTCATTTTCTAAAACAAAGTAAGTAGACGCATTTGTAGAAATAATTTTTCACAACTTTTACTACCTGTCTTAGTCGTCATGTGGGGTGAAAGTTCGGTAGTTCATTCCATGGACAACATCATCTGGGCGCAAGCAGGTGTATATAATGGAGCCCTTTTGTTCCGCTTTAGACCAGCTCGGTTTTTTAATTGTTTTCAGTTCCCCTTTTATCATCCATTTACGCATATTTGGCAGCTGATCTTGGGAGCAGTTTCGCTCTGTTCGAATCGCTTCAATGTTTTTACTATCTGTTACCCTTATCGTCACCAATACTACTTCCATCGCGCAACGATCAGTTCCCCTGTATCATACGCACCTCATATACGCGTTTAATCCGCAATGTTTTCCTTTCCATTGCTAGCTCGCATATTTCTCTATTACCTTCATTCCCTTATTCGATGCTATCGTCTCTATCACTGTCTTTACAGGACGATGGGATCATCACGTGTTGAGTGCCGATCAGCTGTTTCAATTTGCCGCATTGCAAGCGGATCGCCTTGCCGAGGATCCCCGAATCCAAATAGCCGGATTTCATCTCCTATTCGACATGACCGGTATGTCCTCAGTCCAGGTGACTAGGCTAAATCCGGCGAAAAACGCGATGGAATTAATCACACTGTTCCTGGTTAGTCATTGTCAAAATAAACATACTCGCTCACTTCCATTCCCCTATGTAGCGTGGCTATCCGGTACGGGTCAAATGTGTGTTCTTCTACAATGAGCCTTCGATCGTGGACTTCTCCATCCGGCTCTTGTCCGGCTGGTTGCGACCACGGTTAAAAGAACGTGTAAGTCGAGCGGTTGTTTTTTAATTATTTTGAATGCATGCTACCACAACCTTTTTATTTTTATAAAGGTTGTGGTAGCGTGATTTGCTTGGCACACTGTTTGAACTTAGACGTGCGTGAAAATAAACTGCCACGATCATCTACATCAGTGATCTGTATAGTCTTTGTGTATCATTGATCGCGTTGTTGTCTTGTCGACAAGGACGAGGAGGTCTTTATAATCTGACACTTTTCTCGTCTGATCGGTCTGGATCCCAAAGAGCTTAAATTCATGTCAGCGTTAACAGACCTGATAGCTGCAAATAGTGGGTGCATTCAGAGTCGACTATCCACGTTTCCGTCTCATTAGTCCGGTTATTTTTTTCTATTTATCTCAAAAAATTCCTCCCTTTGTTCGTATTCCTAAACACGTCGCGTTCATTGTGGGTTGATCCGCGGTCAGCAAGATTTGCTTCGTTGTTCCACAATAACGGGGAGAAACATTTTACCGGTCATCCCTCCCCTGCTAGATGGAGGATGTAGGATCGGGATACCTGGGTATCTTCCTTTCGAAGTCTTCATACTTCATTGGACAGCTGCCACTCACCCACCCCCCCAATAAATAAGATCAGTGAGAAACAGGTCTTTCCAAATTAGTGTCTGGGATCTTTCGGATTTGATATCCTGCGTCTTCTCGATCGCTTTTCAACCATAGTATACCGGATTTTGCTGTTTTCTGTGTACCTGTACCTGTACCTTTTCGTCCAAATGGACAGCCACTCAAACTGTCGCGCGAAAGTGCTTGACTAATTAATGGTTGGAATACTTGAACCGGATGACGTTTATAGTGGTGTCCTCATTGAACTGAGTTTTGGAAGGTCAGGTAACTCAATCAGACGCCATATCGATTACGAGAGTCTCCTGAGAAACAGTTCAGTCACATATCAAACATTATGTTGTACGGCATTCGGCTCTTCATATTGCTCACGTAACCGAATTATCACTCCGAGGATGTGTTCGAATCCCACCACCATCGGCTAAATTTCCCCATTGTGTGTTGAATGGCAGCCTTTTGATTGGCCGCTTCTCCCTTTCTGAAAGTTGTATCTTTGTATACCCAATCGAAGGAATTAAAGCGAAAAAGAAAAGAAGAACAAAAAGAATCGGTTTATGTTTCTCGTGGATGACCGTTATCATTTCCCGTTCTGTCCTCTCGTGCAAAGCAATCGATCATACTGTTTTGGATTGTGTCAATAAGAGCAATAACATTTCATCTAGATTGATCACCAGAGATATTCTGTCCAAGGCCCATGCACAAGTATCTTACTCACAGAATTCCAAAAATTTTATCTTAGCTTAGACGATATTTGGACAACTTTCGATGTAGTTTACCTCACTTTATCGATTTACGCCCCCATCCACCCCGCCCGTCGCATCGAAGAAAATATCCGTAGAAAAATGGATACAAGTATGCGAAACATAACTGCCTTCTCATGAAGCATTCGTGTGAATCCAATTCTGTGCACAGTGGTATGCTTACATTCCATGGTGTACGTGTAAAGGCCAAACAAAAACCATACTATATATATATATATATATATATATATATATTTGAGGTTGGGGTACAAACATTTGGGCAGATAAGGCAAGCCGTAAAAATTAGAATGGGTCGGATGTGAAGAACTCAACGAGTGTACCCGACGAAGATCAAGACCAAAGAGGTGGGTGTTCCGATTATTTTAATGCACACGATTGATCCATGGACTCCTTACAATACGTGTATGTCTACGCTGTCTAAAAATACCCATGTGACTCATGAAGGTATGACAAACACATGGATCTGGGTGTGATATGCAAAACTGTATTTAGGTAACCTGCGTCCTCTCATTGCATTTCATTCTGAACCCAGACCCAGTCATAACAATGGCATTTGTAGGAGAAGCAAACGTGCACTATCGTGCTCTCCGCGACAGTAGTTGTGTGCCCTCTTACTTTTCTCTAGTTGTATACTCAATGCAACTTATCACGCTACCTGACTTCCAACCACCCTGTCGCATCGATTGAACGAGCGTAAATTTCGATCCGAAAGATGCCTTTCTTTTCCTTGAATGAATAAATATCGAAAGTTGCATTTGCATTGGTCACTGAATTGCGTGTGTGTGTGTGTGTGTGTGTGTGTGTGTGTGTGTGTGTGTGTGTGAAAAACAAAGAAACTCTACCACTTAGACCGAGAAATCAGTTTTTTTTTCATTTAAGCACTAACATCAAAGTCGTGTTTGTAACCATATCTCTGTAGACAATAAGTTATATCATTGGCAACCATTCAGCAGTTTCTTGTTGCAGTGCACGTCTGGGGAGCCATTTAGTGGAAAAGCTAGGATGAGCTGGTGTTTTCGGATGGTATCCATTTATGTTAAAGTTTTCTCAGACACAAGCTTTTACCATTTAGGACAACTATCGTAGCTACTTTTTCTGGGTGAAGATGCATTCAAGCTTGATCTGACTGTCTTTTATGCGCATCACAGCACACAGAGACTCACAGGGTTACGTCCAGCCCTGAACATTTACGGGATCAGCTCCCGAGGAACGTGCATCAAATTCGAGAATGGAAATCCTTGAGGAATTACAAACAACCTCACGTCACAAGTTGGTTGATCGCGTTTGTTGCTTGATGGCTGAATGCGGATATCTCGTCAAAGTTGGGCCTGGGGACGGGGGGGGGGCGTTGTTCTTTCGCTGATGATATATTGTCCTATCTTCTGCACACCAACGATCACTTCTCAATCAGTTGTAACAACTTTCCTTGTATCCGCTTCCTTTTGTAATCAGACCTTCCTCTTAAATGACAAAGTTGACGAGATCTGCAAAAAGGTTCCCGGTTTGTGTGATGTCTTACCGGCGGACTACGGTGGTCACGGCAGTAGTGTGGACCAAATACTGGGTAAGTTCGCGACCGAACTGGATAACCTTAACACTGTACTGTTTGTAACCATTCGTGCCGCACGGAGTCAGGAATGGTGCGTGTTGTTTTCCGTTGGTTGCTTTTGCACAAATTCGGTTTTATCAGAGTCGAGATTGGTTTCCTTTTCTTTATTACCTTGATTCCTCTTCTCAGGAAGTTTCGAAAAAACTGGAACTGTTTTCGAAATAGAATTTTGAGCTTAGCAGAAAAGTGTTTTTATCCAAATCATGCAATGCACTGGCAAATCCGCCAATAAAATGTTGCACAACCATAAAATAGAACTAAATGAACGGTAGCGCAATATACACGACTTTTCAACTTCAGTGAAACGTTGCGTCTACGCCAAAAGTGTTCCAGCGCTGCGTTCGTTGCTCGAGTCTTGGAAATGCGGGCGGTTATCTCGTTTGCTGAGCTACCGTCATTGGTCACACAACTACTTAAGTAGGAAAAACAATCCACATTAACTAATTCCTGACCATTTCGTTTCAAAGTAGAAAGTAGGCGGGGGTAGTATGTACAGCCTCACTTTGCACTTTGAAGGTGGAAAGCGATTTTTGCCGATAGCCGATGCGTGAAGCTCATCGAAACTAGTGCATGATCAGATACAAAACAGGTGCTACAAATAAATATACAATTTTGTATTGATATACGCTAACTGTAGCTTGCAGCACAGGGATCGATTTGAGTAAACTTACCCTCAAGTGGCCTGCACTACCCGGCTCCTAAATTCGTGTCTCCGAGAGGCAGCGGAGATCAATTTTCAAAGGGTTCATTGTATGCGCAAGGCTCCTGCATCGGGGTTCTCACTTTCTTGGCCCCACAGATTGAGAGGTTGACGAGGTTTCAGAATCTGCAGTTTATTTAACGGTAAACTAATTACAATACTATTTGCACTGAACTTTAGCGGGATGCTAACAACTTGTTTGATGGAGTGCCACGGGTCAGGCGCAAAGGGAGAGAATTCGGTATGGAACAAAACAAAAATTGGAATATCTGAGCAGCGCGCTCCTGATTATCCTGCGCGACGGCCGATGCAGTATGAAATTATTTTTAATTTGTATGTTCATTGGCGTGCAAGGAACGATCATCACTAGCCAATCGGTGAGTTTATCTCTATTTAATAATGTGATTGGTCGAACAAGAGCAACGAGGCTGTACACAATGTAAGCGCCATGAACGCGAATCATGCCGGGCGAAGGTAACGTCATGTGTCGGTGTTCGCGCCATTGATATTCCTAACACTGTACGGCCAGAGTTCATGTTATACCAGACAAATTGGGCGGAAGTGAGCAGTCAGCGTGAAGCTCCACTTTCACGATGCGAAACAGAGTACAAACAGTTTTCTTATGAGTTTTCAGTTTGAACAACCATGAGCCATGCACTTTCGTGCACCCGTTTTGGTTGCTCTCTTTTGGCCGTCCATTTGTATGAACAGTAGGACAAAGACAAGAAATTGACAGTAGAGTCGAATAGAAAATGGGGAGTTTCGGTGGACTAATTTTGCAAAGAAATTGATAAGATACGCGAACGCCACTGTTCACGACACTCAGCCATATCACTGAGTGTCTCTAACCATCGTTCACGATAATCCGCGAGGTCCCTGCCGGGGAGCCTAACGGGAACTTTGTGCCCCCGTCCCCTGGTTAGGTTTTTCATACTCTTGTGCCAGGTCTCAGCTTGACCACTCTTAGGTTTATTTCACCCACTACCTACCTCGGCGAACATCGCTCACCGTGGCAATCTATTTGGTGACATGCGTAACACATGCCCCAACCAGCGTGATCTATGGAGATCGCCCACTTGTTCCAGTGAGCGACCGCGGTTGCCTAAAACTTTTCGCCTGAACTCAGTATTGCTTGTCCGGCTGCCCCACCATATCCGTGCAGTGTTGCGTAGACAGTGGTGTTCAAACACCGACAGCCAATCTTTATCCTGTTTTCCTAATATCCAAGTTCCTGCTCCGTATAGCTGATTTGGTCGAACTGCCGCAGCATACACTCGACCCGTCACAGGCAGCCGGATGAGTTTTCCTATGAGAATGTGAAACAGCAAAACTGGGATTATCAGTGGACACTTCACGGGATTGAAACTAACGTCTGAACGGCGGAGCGCCATATTGCAGTCATAGACTTTATTTTAATATATTTAACAATAAAATTTCGATGATCAACGTTATAATGAATAGTCATGCATTGCCTAATCCACACTAAGTCGCGTTTTTACTAATCTCATGTTTTTTACAACGCGGGAGCAGCATTAAATATCAATATCTGGTCGGACAACTGTTCAGACCGCGGCATGACATGGTATCCAAGACCAGGTCTCTGTAATCATCACCAGAGGCAATGTAAGATCTAAGTCTTACTGCATATGTTTTGGCAAACAGAATCGCATTCCTGTTCTATATGAAATAAGATAAATGTAATGCGGCATCTGAGAAGCCCACAACATGCGCATCGTGTATCCTGTGCCAAAATCGAATTGCGAATACAGCCCTGAACGCACCGGAATGCAACTGGAACGCCGAATGGCACATGTTTCATGTGGTCAGGGATGAAAAATGATCCTGTATCACATTTGCTCTCGGGCACTGCATAGACCCCCAACGTTGCATTTTGTGATACCGTTCTTTGTCAGGAGGAATGATAGAAAGTTCGTGGGGATGGTGCAGTTCTTACGACTGAATTCGGATAGTCCGCTTAACCCAGACCACTCATAAAGTGCGTCAACTCACATCCCTTCTGCAGCTCTGACGTGCCCCTCGATTGTTGACGACCAGCCAAGGCAGAATGGGAGCGGTTATATCATTCGAAAGTTCCCCTCGGGCAGAAGTAGTTCTAGTCTAGTGTTCTAGTCTAGTTCTAGTCTGTTGTGTGCATGACCGCGTCGATAATCATCATCATCATCGGATTACAGTAGCGCCTCAATTTTCACGTAGTGCGTAGCTCTTCTACCACAAAGGCATACATCCAGTTGTTTCATTGTGTGTTTGCATTACTAAACTTCGTATCTGTGGCCTCATTAGTGACATTATATATATATATATATATATATATATATAATACGATAAGTTTCCTTCTGAGCCAGGTAACAATCCCTACGTGACGACCCACAATTTAACAGAGATTGAGAATTGCCGCAAACGTTCTCGCCCACTAGCGAGTTGGTTACTGTGAAGGATCCATGATTGTCCTTTTACCTTGTTACGATGAACCCCCTTCGATCGAATGAAATAGGAGTCCAAAGATGAATTCAAGCATCCCTTTCCCCCTGACATGAACTTAAACAGAGAATACAGCAGCACGGTGTTGCACAATTTATTTCCGGAAACATTTCACTGTACTTCCTCATGCACATACCGCAGTCGAAATATATAACGTCGACTAACAGGTTACAGACCGTTGATGAGCTGTTGGCATTATATGTGTCCACCTTCGTACCAAGTCAGGGCATGACTTACAAATAACCTTCTACACTTGCACAGTCCCGGTCCCCATCGTTTTATATCAATCGCCTCAGCAAGCGAGAGTTTTGCGTCAAGAAAACACTATTGAATGCCGTGGTCAAGTTCACTTGTTATTCAGTCTCTAATGCATGATGAGTAATCGATGACGTGTGACTTGTAATGTGTTCACCCACACCAGAAAGTGTTCGACTACTCGTTATCCAATCTGCTACTACGTTTGCGGCTATCGGACGAGAATTCTGTAATCATTTTTCTCAGCAAAACTCAAAACCTTGTTGTTGGAACTCGTATTTAATCTGTGGGATACTGCTCAGCGACAAAAAAGTAATCAAGTAAATAGACTGATTGAATTATGCTTCTTTTTGTCGTTCACTGCCCTACATCTACCGTTATATCCAATGGTTATATTCTGTCACCACTATTGTTTTGTTTATTGCTGTAGCAAACTTCAGCCCGGAATTCAAGCGGTATGTTGAATGCCCTCATTTATGGGATGAAATGGCAGCTGACGAGTCACAACGACCAGACTGGACAAAGGTTTATGTGTCCGATTACGGTTATAATCTGAGCCCAGGAACGGACGGCCTCAGTCGTCACGGTTCTGTATTCTCTTCATGATTTCCCTCAGTGATATTGTATGGGACACGACAATTCTCAACTTTAATCTCCTGTCAACTGTGGTGTTCTTCGACTGCAAACATACGTATTATCCCTTTCAACCTCGATCTTCACTTTGTTCCGCAAAAACACTGTTTGTAAACTGATTTCATTGAAAGTTCACCCCTGTAATTGTTCAAAGCGATTTCCACGTCAATTTGTTGCAAAACGGTTTCACGAGACCAAGGATCGTCCAACCAAACGAAGCGAAGCTGGGAAAAGCTTTCCGAAAACGCAATGTGTACATTCCATCTTGATCTCCTTTCGAGCTTGTGGAGGTCGCATACTTTCGATGCTTGACCTTCTTGGTTTTAAAGATTGTGGCATGGATTTTACGTGATCACTTCATACTATTCTCAATGTCTGTTCGACATTTACCGATGCATTTTTTCCAAATTTAGTTCAGACAATGAGATATATTTGAGGTCAACGGTGCAAACACCATTCATGGTCTCACCACCGCCATCAGATTTCGTGTTTTGCCATTGAACCACATTCGTTAAGGGAATTTTTTCCTTCCACAATTACCTTTATGGTTGATCGCTTGATAAAACGTTGTAGATAAGAGGTTTTACAAAATAACCACTGCTGCATGGGTGAATAAGTGTATAACTCCAAAAGCATTCTCAGTGACCTAGGTAAACATTCCATGACTCCCATGGGAAACTGCTGAAACTTGGAAATAATTTATTTTTATAATTTACTCAGGCTAACGGCTTCATCCAATAAATTTACAGCTTCTTCTCCTTTTTCCTCTCCTGACTAGTGTAAGTAAAAGGGATTCCTCAGAAGCATTGAGATTCATCGATTGCATCTCTTCTGGGATCCTCTAATCACTTGACTTGCAACAGAAACGCAGTGCTATCCTACGTTCTCGATCGAATTCCACTTGACCCAATTAAATCCGATCTATCAGGTCTAGGTACCCATCCAGAATCTCGTGTTCTTGTGTCAAACTTCTCGATAAAACGTAAAGCTATCATCACTTTATCCACCTGATTCAGTTTCTCAAATGCTCAAAAAACTGGAAGAACTCTCATGACAAAAAATTACGTCAGCGTGAGGTACTCAAGCAAAGCAGCTAGCAGTTCACCCATGACGAGAAACTTGGCTGACACTCACAGTACATCACTTTGGATTGCAAGCCCTGTGCCTGTAACCTTGCTGCTCTCCCTTGACAATGAAATCCATCTTGTAAATCATTAGAATCTTCCTTTTGATTTTCATGTAAGTCGTGTGGTTGTTGACTTGTAAATCTCCTTAAAGCACATACAGCATTTGATACCCCCATGTCTCCAATAATGTGAACCGCATTTTGTGTATTTCACACACGTCTGAATCCAGTCGGTATGCCAAACAAATCATAGCATATATATATATA